GGTCAAGGCTGGCCGAGCCTGGGCTGGGGGCAGCAGGGTCTGTGGGCCGCCCCCGTGCTCCCCGGGGACGTCTCGGGTCACCGTCTGCACCGCCGGCCGCGCCGCCCCGCGGGTTATTTATGACCCCCTCTCCCTCCCTGGCGGCGGCGGCGGCGGCGGCGGCGGCGGCAGCCGCCGGGGCGGCGGAGGGCCCCGCGCGGGGCGGACCGCGAGCAGCGATGGCGCCGCGGAGGCCGGCGGGCGGCCAGGGGCGGAGCTCCGCCGGCCGGAGGAGGGGCTGCAGCCACCGACCCGACCTGTGTTCTCCGCGGGGCCTCCGGGCCTGAGGGCCAAGCAGCGGTGATCCCAGCGCCAAAATTCTGTCCCTCTTCCCTCTGGTTCCAGTCTGCGGAGTACAGAGGAACGTGCGGGCTCAGGTGCCAGACCTGGACAGGCGGGAGGAAGTGAGCAGATGCTCCTGCGAAGAGTATAATGTCCAGGGGTGAGGATGCCTGGTCCCGTCAGCGTGGGAATGTCACTCTGAGCCCCGTGGGCAGAGGGCTCTATTTCCCAAGAACAGGGGGCAACATGTGTGTGGGGGGTGAACTGCCCTGGTCAGCCAAGACCCCGACAGCCCCTGGAGGGAGGTGTCCTTGGAGTCAGGGAGTGGCCCCAGAAGGAGAGAGCGTCCTGCAGAGAGCTCTGGGCCCAGTCACGGTCTTTTCAGGAGGGAACCCTGGTCCTCCAAAGAGGGCTGGAGCCAGATGGTGGCGTGGAGGTTAGGCTGGGTGAGCTAGGTCAGCCCCCACACCTTGCCAGCTGGACCCCTCCCCTGAAAGCCAGAGTTGGGGCCCCCCATGGCACTCCTTAACCATTGTGGGCCAGTGTGTGATGAAAGAGACCAGGGGTGAGTGAGGGGTGGTCCAGCAGAAGGGACGGGAGGCCCCCCTCCTCAGGCTCAGGACAGAGGAGAGGCCTGGCCTGACAGCTGCCTGGTATCTTCTCACATCTAGAGATGTGTTTTGCCAACCTCCCCTCCCCAAACTGCAGTGTGAAGGTCAGGGGTTAGGAGGCCTAAGGCTCAACAGACAGGTGCAGGCAAACATTAGAAGAGATGGGTGGAGGCTGTCTTTTGGCAGCAGGGTCAGGGCTGTGGCCAAGCAGTGGGCACACAGGCCCACTTGGCCTCCAGCTGAGCCCTGATGGCCTCTCCACACTGAGCTATGACCACAGATTAACAAGAAGGCTCCTCCACGGGCCTTGGCTCTCAGGCGAGGACAGCCTCCTGCATCCATTTGACATGGAGGCATCGCACCTGAGAGCAAGACACAGGCTACAGAGGCTGGGTGTGGGGGGAGCTCCCTAGCTCTCACTCCTGGGGTCAGGTATGTGCAGGTGTCCAGGTTACAGAGAGGGCAATGGGGCCAAGGGTGGTGAAGTAAGGAGGGGGTCACTCACATTCACACCCATCTTCCCACCTGCCCCTTAAACTCCCACAGACAGAGATACAAGGAGTAAAGGGGCAGAGAGTCCCAGACACATGCCTGGTCTGAGCCCAGACCTCACTCCCCAGGTTGGTCTTGGGGCTGGCTGGTACCTTAGCTGAGGATGAGGTGGGCAGCACGCATTAGCACACGAAAGCAGCGTGGTCTCCGGCAGTCGGCCACATGCCCAGGTGGTGCTGGCGTCTGGTAGGAGGGGCTGAGGGGGATTGTTCCCTCACTCCCAGCCCCTCCCTTGCAGAGGTGCGAGCACTCCTATGACCCAGCTCAGCAGCCCCCCCCCCCCGCCCAAGCCTGGTCAGGAAGATGCCCACATGGGTGCCCTACCAGGTGCATCTCAGAGGGGCACGGGCAGGGGTCTGGGAGCTGGCTTGGGATCAGAGGCTACTCTCTAGCTTGTCCAAAATGGCACACCAGAGAAATACAAGGTCTCGCCAGCTACTATCAAAACCACCGAGGTTCTCAGTTTCTCTTCCTAGTTATCCCACTGCGAGGCCACCATGCTGACCTGCAGGGAGGTGTGGGTTGATCCCAGGGGACAGCTGCCCTCATACCAGGCCTAGACCAAGGCTGACCTCTCCCCCGAAGGCACGGAGGTGGACGTGGATGCGTAGGTCCCTCGTCCGCAGACTTGCACGTGGCAAGGAGCAGCAATGTGCTCCGCTGCACGGCCCCCTATTCAGCTGCCCCTCCCCCCCCCCACGTCCCCCACCCCTAACCCGGATTGGATCTAGCCCACTTTCTCGCCCCACCCTATGGCTCAGATACTGTCTGCCGTGGAGGCAGACAGCCTGGATTTGAAACGTCAGTACAGTTACTTGGCCTCTTTGTATCTCACCTTCCTCATCTGTAAAATGGGGATAATAAAGGAAAACTCGTGTTGGGATCATCAGGTGAACTAAGGTGTGTGAAGTGTATGGTGAGGGGGCAATGGTTGATGGAACTGTTATCGTTGTTATTCACACACCACGAACCCTCCCCAACACCTTTGCCGAGGCCACACAGCGCACACCCTGTAGAGCAGAGGAGACCACCCATGCCCTCCCCACTGATGCCCACCACCTACCCAGAGCTGCCGGCTCACACACACCCCCGCCAGGCAAGCGGCGATTCCGATCCCGGATCCGCTCCTTCGCAAGGAGCCAGAGTCCAGGACTCCGGCTGGGGCGCCCAAACAGTGACTCCCTCAGCACCTGGCGCGGTCCATGCGCGCCGCCTCTCGCTGGCATCTGTCCCCCGCACCACCCCCATCCCCCCACACACACACCAGTCTCCTTTCCTCCTGTTCTCTCCCACTCGGGAATAGGGCAGAGGGTGCAGCCGGGGCCCGTCGGGTCCCCCGCGTGAGCCCAGTCGGCCGTCACGCACCCCCTGCTGGAGCCCGTGCCGCTCGCCCGCCGCGCCGGGGCCGTTTAAATGGGCCAAGTTGTGGCGGCGGCGGCGGCGGCGGCGGCGGCGGCGGCGGCGGCGGCGGCGGCGGCGCGAGTCTCCCAAGTCCCCGCCAGGCGGGCGCGCGCTGGAGTACGCGGGTGCACGGCTGGGACGGCGGGGCGGGGGCCTGGGACCCTCCGGCGGGGCGGGGCACGCGGCCGGAGGCTCCACACCTCCTCACTGCCCGGCTCGGCCCGGCGGGCGCAGCAGCAAACCGGGCGCGGGGCCGCCCCGGGGGGCGCGGGCGCAGGTGGCCCAGCGCCCTGTGGAGCCCCAGGGTCCTGGAGCTGCGGCGCTGGGCAGGTCGATCGGGGATCGATACAGCTCCGGCAGCACCATGTCTCAGGCAGCAGAGGCCCCGCCAGCCGGCCGGGCAGCGGTCCGAGGTGGCCCGGCTGGGGCGCAGTAGCGGCGAGGACGGGTGCGCGGCCAGGAGCCTCCCAGGCCCCCGCCCTCGAGACCCAACTCCAGCCCGGGCCGGAACTAGTTGGGCCGGCTGCGGAGAGCCAGGCTGCAGGACCACCCGCCCACCATGCCGGCGGTCAAGAAGGAGCTACCCGGCCGCGAAGACCTCGCCCTGGCTCTGGCCACCTTCCACCCGACCCTGGCCGCGCTGCCACTGCCGCCGCTGCCCGGCTACCTGGCGCCACTGCCCGCCGCGGCCGCCCTGCCCCCGGCTGCCTCGCTACCAGCCGCGACCGCGGGCTACGAGGCGCTCTTGCCCCCGCCTCTCCGCGCCCCGCGCGCCTACCTGAGCCTGCACGAGGCCGCCCCGCACCTTCACCTGCCCAGAGACCCTCTGGCCCTCGAGCGCTTCTCGGCCACTGCGGCCGCGGCACCGGATTTCCAGCCGCTGCTGGACAACGGCGAGCCGTGCATCGAGGTGGAGTGCGGCGCCAACCGCGCGCTGCTCTACGTGCGCAAACTCTGCCAGGGCAGCAAGGGTCCGTCCATCCGCCACCGCGGCGAGTGGCTCACACCCAACGAGTTCCAGTTCGTCAGCGGCCGCGAGACGGCCAAGGACTGGAAGCGCAGCATCCGCCACAAAGGTGCGGCCGCCGTGGGGGCGCGGGCCTCTCCGGTCCCTCCCCTCTGCTCCCCGAGGACCCGTGGGTCCGGACCCCCCTCGTCCTGACACCTGGGAGACTCCATCTCTGCCTAGAGAGGGCGCTGCGACTCCGGGGCCACCGCAGAGACGCCCCCTTCCCCCAAGCACGGTCGCCTTGGTGGACCCAGGCAGAGCGCCCTCGGCCTCCGCGGTCCCCGCAGCGCTGGCCGCACGAGCCGGCGGCTCCTTCCGTCCGGAAGGTCTTTGCGGGATTCCTGGGCCTGAGGCTCACGGGGAAGTTTACGGGAACTCGGGAGAGCGGGCGGGAGGCCGACTGGGCGGGGTACTCCCCTGCGGGGTCGAGGAGCCACCGGTTCTGGCGGGAGTGGAGGGGCACACGTGAGGCGGCCGGGTGCGGACGCGCGCTGGTAAAGCGAAAGGCAAGGTGCAGGGGTGGCGCAGGCAGGTGGGGGGCGCGGGGGCGCGCGTCGGGGCGGGAGCGCGCGCGGAGCCGAGAGGCGGCGGGGCTGGGAGCAGCCGCTTGGGCTCCCGCAGCAGTCTGGCTCCGAGGGCGCGACGTGCGGGCGCCAGAGCGGGCATGCGGTGGGGGAGGCGGGGTGAGCGCCAGGCCGGGGGTAGGGGGTGGTTAGAAAGTTAGGGGCCCGGTCACGCTCGTCGACTTTGGGGCTCACGGCTCCACGAGGTCAAGCGCAGTCCTGGGTCCCGACCGCGCCGCTCACCTGCGCCGGGCCCGACCCTCCTCCGCCCGGCTCCGGGTTCCGGAGGACCGGCTTGGAGAGCGTGGAGCGCGGGAGGAGTGGCGCAGGGGGAGGGGAGAAGGCCGCCCTCCGTCAAGCGGGGGCGCTCACCGGATCTTGAGTTTCTGAGCTCTGCAGATCCCCGCGGCGTCCGCGAGGGTAGGGTGAGCCGCGAGGCCTGGCGGAGGGTTCGGAAGTTGGACGGAGGCGGGTGTTCATAGTCGTGGTGGGAGGGAACCTGGCCTTGACCCTGACAGCGCCCCGGAAGCGTGCCCGCGTGCCCGGCCCCACCTGTGCCCGCCCCGCTCCCTCACTGGTCCTGCCTCGGCTCTCCTCGCAGGGAAAAGTCTGAAGACGCTTATGTCCAAGGGGATCCTGCAGGTGCATCCTCCGATCTGCGACTGTCCAGGCTGTCGAATATCCTCCCCGGTGGTGAGATGCGGGAGAAAAGTTGGGGCTTCGGGGTCTTGTTTCTCCGCCGCGGAGCTTGTGCCTGTATTTTCTAGGATCAGTCCTAACTTCAACCCTGCCGATGGGCAGGAGGGAGCCCCCAGGGACTAAGAGAGGAGATACTTTGGGTGGGAATCCCGGGGCACCAGAGCCCTCACCCCCTTGATGCAGGGCAGGGTCCTGCCTATCCTGGAACCTCTCCTTGGGAGTCTGGGAGCTGCTTCTCCTGAGGTCCTGGGGACAGCCCACGGTGTGAAGGATTCCTCCCTGGACAGTGTCACCTGACTGGGGCTTGGGGACTTTGCCTTGTCACAGGTTGGGAGGGTGTCACCATGTCAGCTGGCCCAGCCTGGGAGAGGGGCCAGTCCTAAGGGAATGCTTGTTCTGGGATGTGACAGTGTGACAGTGTTGGCTGGCCTGGATGTACATTCTGGGGTGGCCACAGGCTTGGATGTGAGTGACGTGCATCTCTGGGTGCCCAGGGCTGGAGCCCTACAGGGCAAGGTCCTAGATGTCCAGGAGTGTCCGGGGATACAACCCAGCTTGGGGCACAGGAGGTGCACTGTGGGCCTTGGGTGTCAAGAGAACTGCAGCTGGGAGCTGGTGTGGGGCCTCCAACCCAGTGTAGATGTCTCTTGACCCCTCATTAGCCTAGGGGAGCAAGAGAGACGGGGCCTGTGCCTGCCCCTGAAGCACTGCCTTCCCCATCACATGCCCTCCAGGCAGCAGTGGTTGGAGGGTGAACCTGAAAAGGAAATTTCTCCTTGAGGGGGACAGTTCGAGCCCCTGGGGGAGAGCCCATTAGGGCCATGGCTCCTGGCACCACTCGGTAGCCCCGCTGCCAGGAAGGCCTGAGAGGACCCTGCAGGCCGCCCTCAGCTTGTTTACTTTGGACTGGCGGTAGGGTGGGGGAGGGGATGTCCTGGATTCCTCGTGGGCCCTGGGGGTGGGCAAGCTAGGAAGCCACACGCAGTCCTGTAAAGACACACAAGTTGGGCAGAGGAAGAGGACGCAGCTGAACCTCCCCACGTGCCCACCCCACACACTGTCTGGCATGAGCTCGCCATACTCACAGGCATGCCCGCCCACAGAGCCCCCCAGACAGAGCATGTACACAGGCAGCCCACCTTTGCCCGCTGCCACCATACCTGCCTGGGGCAGGAGGCTGAGCTCTCGCTCCCCTTCTCAAGCAGCTGGTGCCCAAGAGGACACCCTCCAGGCTGGTCTGGGTTTTCTGCCCGAGTGAGAGGAGCCCTGCCTCTCCCATCATCCCCTTTTGAAGGTCTCCCGTAGGAGGGGGGTGGGCAGGTGGCCTGAGCACAGCATCAGCCCCCTCTAGGACATTGCTTGCAGGGCTGCCTGCCTGTCAGGGACTCCCAGGTCCCTGCCCTGCATGAGGGATGGCTCAGACCTGGGCCTGCCTCTTCTGAGCCCGGTCCCTCCCAGGCCCATCCCTGCACCCCTCCCTTAGGAAGGAAGGAGTCTCATGGACCCCCTTGTCTTTCCAGGCCCCACCTTTTCCACAGAGAGACTGTTTTCCCCTACTCCCCGTGGCCAGGTCCACAGGTATGTGCACACTGCACGGTCACAGAATATGGGTGTGCACACGGCGCAGGGCTCACGCAGCCGGCCTCCACACACCCACCCTCGCTGTCTGAGGAGCCAGTGCGTGGCTGGGGCAGGGGCTTAGCACCCAGTTCTTAAATCTCTGTGCTGAGCAGGGGTGAGCAGCTGAGGTCTCTGGTGTGTGTGGGGGAGGCATGTGAGTTCCCTGTCCTTGGCCAGGGTCAGCAGGGCTGCCCATCCTGGCCCCCCACCCTGGGGCCATCCCAGGCCACCCTAGCTGGTCTGGCCGCACCCCACGTGGCAGCCTTACTGCTCTGTTTCCCTCTCCTCTTCCTTGTCCCACAGATGAGAAGCAGAGAGAAATGCATTTACTTTTTTCTTAAGAGAACAGCTTAATTAAAGCGGAAAGGCAGGAGAGGAGGTCCTTTCGCTTGGGCTACAGCAGGCTAGAGAAGGGCAGAGCCGAGGGGCCTTTGCAGCTGAGCACACTCCTGACAGGTCAGGGCTGTTGGGAACCCTCCCCCCAGAGCCTGGCCTGAAGAGGCTCGGGGCCCAGATGGGCAGTCACCCCCTCCCCCCCGCCACCCCGCCTCGCCCGAGCTCTGCTGTCGCTGGTGTAGCACCGAGCCAAGGCCAGGCCCCCTCGTCTTGCAGGCCTACCCCGGCTCCTTCCCCCCCACGCCACCCGTCCCCAGCACTGCCCAGTCCATCTTGCTGAGTGTGTGCTGCAGAGCCGACCATGGGGGGGCCTCCTGGGTGGATGTGTGAGGGCAGGTGTGGCAGAGACTGGCTCCCAGAGCCTGTCAGGGGCACTGCCCAAATCTGGGGCTGGGACGGGTCGTGTGGAGGTGAGGGTGGTCTGGGTCTGAAGAGAACCTTTCCTCTGGAGGGTAGCACTGTGGTGGCTGCACACCGCGGCCCTTCAGATCCAGGGCGACGCTGTGCGGGGAGGGGCGAGAGCCCCCTGGACACCTTCTTCCCCAAGCTCCTGCGTGTGTCCTGCGTGTGGTGGGGACACGTTGTCCTAGCAACAGGAGGGTGGGGTCCTAGGAGGCCTCGGTCACTGAAAAGATGAAAGAGAATTAGGTAAGCCCCAGGCCCCTGCCACCTCCCTGAACCAGTCACCTGTTATTAAATAAGAAAGAGCCCCCTGCCCACCAGACAATAGGAACTTTTTTTCCCTAGGGTGGCAGCGCCTGCAGGCACTGGCAGGTACCATACTGTGCGGGCCCGAGCACGAGCCACCGGCTGTGCGCGGGCTCTGAGCGCCTCTGTGGGGGCCCTGCGCGTGTGCCCCTGCTCCCCACTCACGTGGCGGTCGCAGGGCCGGGACAGGTGCGCCTCGTTGAAAAACTCCGAATCTTTTAGTTCCTAACCCAGGGGGCAGAGCCCCCCCCAGGGCCCGTGGGACAAAGGGTCTCAGCTGCCAGGTGACCTGTGAACCAAAGACCTGCAATTTGCCAGGGGTCAGCTTCAGCTCCCCCTGAGCTGGGCTCCATTTGGCACTAATCAGAAGGTGGGCTTGGCATGGGTGGGGGATTCACGCAGAGTGTGAGGGGGGTTGCCAGGCAGACATGCAGGCAGAGGTAACTGCACGTTGAACGGTGACAGGACCCACAGCGTCCCGCGGGTACTTGCGGCCCCTCTGCGCTCCCTGGAGCTGGGAAAGCCGCGCTGGTCTCCAGCAGGCGAGTGCCTGTGGAGGGGCCTGGGCCGAGTGTGGAGCCCCGACAAGGCACTGCCACACCCCAGCCCCCCAGGGTGGAGTGGAAGGCAGTCTCTTCAGGGGTTCCTGGTGGAGGCCTTGCCCCCCTGCTCTTGTCTTGGCCTCTGGCCGGTTGTGACGGTCCTGGAGGCTGGAGGCCCCTCTGCTGTAGGCACCCAGGAAGCTGAGCGACCCGGTTTGTCCTAACCTTCCTCTCCCCACTCCCTGTCCAGAACCGGGGGCGGCTGGCAGACAAGAGGACAGTTGCCTTGCCCCCTGCCCGTGTCCTGAAGAAGGAGCTGACCCCCAGCTTCTCAGCCAGTAGTGACAGTGACAGGAGTGGCCCGGCCTGTGGGCAGCGGCTGGGCTTGAAGCAGGAGGACGACCCGCATGTCCGTATCATGAAAAGAAGGTGCTTCAAGGGCCAGGGTGGGAGGGCACGCGGGCTCTGGCAGGTGGCAGAACTGGGGTCTCCAGGCAGCGGAAGGCCACATCAGGCTTCGGGTGGGGGGCCTTTGCCCTGGGGATAGGGCCCCAGTTTAGCTTGCTGTGTCTCCGTGGACGCTGATAGCTGCCACGGCTGAAACAGAACCTGGACCCCCGGGGACATGCCACAGGATGGCTGCGAGCCCACCTTGCCCCCGCCTGGGGGCCGAGTGTCGGGCCAGGACTCGGTGGCATCGCCGGGGAGTGGGCATCACCAGCGGTCACGGCCAGAGCAGGCCACGGAGGGTAGTTGGCCGGGAGGCCCGGAGCCACTGGGTGTGAGGAAGGAAGGCGTTTCTAGGAGGAGGGTCTGGCGGCACCGCAGCCAGGCGGGGAAAGGGGAGCTGGGCGGGCCCCACGCTCGCTCTCACCAGAGGGGCCACTCCCCCCGGCTCCTACTGTCCCTCCCAGGCTTGAGGCTACCCTTCCTGACCTCCCACCTTCTCCCCTCCTGACAGAGGCCCCTCCCTCTGTCCACTCACCCCTTTTTCCATCCTTCCATCCATCTGTAGGTCCATCATCTGTCTGTCCGGCGTGTCTTGTGCATCCCCAGAATTTTAGGCCCTTTCTCTTCCTGCTTGGTCTGTTTTTTTTTTTTTTGAGGTACACGAGCCTCTCACTGCTGTGGCCTCTCCCGTTGCGGAGCACAGGCTCCGGATGCGCAGGCTCAGCGGCCATGGCTCACGGGCCCAGCCGCTCCGCGGCATGTGGGATCCTCCCAGACGGGGGCACGAACCCGTGTTCCCTGCGTCGGCAGGTGGACTCTCAACCACCGCGCCACCAGGGAAGCCCCTTGCTTGGTCTTTTAACATGTTCCAGTTTCTCCTACCCTAACCCTAACCGTCCGGGCCACCCGAGACACACACCGCCTGCCGCCCCCACTCCTACCCGTGCTAAGGTGAAGCACCACGTGGGCCTCCCACTGCCCTCCATCAGCCCGAGGGCCTTTTCAGGGGTGCTGCTGGGATGAGAGCGTGGGCACAGGGCAGAGCTGCTTCCTTTCTTGCCCTCGCCTGCCTCCGCTGTGTGATGGTCGCTTTCAGGAGGCAGGTTGGCAGCAGCCGGGACCCAGGGGCCACCACTGGAGCCGACAGTGGCCATGGGGCTCATTCCCTGCCCGGAGCAGCTCTAGCAACTAGGAAGTTGGGTTCAGTCACACAAGTGAACGTGCAGAGGAAGCCACAGCCCCACCCCCAGCACAGCGTGGGGGCTGCTCTGGTTCCACTGCAACAAGAAGCAGAGACTCGGGCTCTCAATTCTGCCCTTCCCGATTCCTCTGTCTGGTGAGGCCAGGAGCTGGCTTCTGCCCCGTGAGCCTGTCCTGGCGGCAGCCGCCGGCCTGTTGAGGGTGCTCTGAGCCAGCCCAGTTCCCTTGAGGCTGGCGCTCCAGGGCAGACACAGGGTGTGCCACACACACACACACACACACACACACACACACACACGTCCTGCTGTCCCCGTGCCGAGACCTGGAGGCCACACTGACCCTCTGCTTCTCTCTTTGCAGAGTCCACACCCACTGGGATGTGAACATCTCCTTCCGAGAGACGTCCTGCAGGTAGGGCCAGGCTGGGGCCAGGCTGCCCCCACATGCTGTGCATGCGCAGGACAGAGCCTTCTTGCTCCACGTCCCCTGGGTCTGCTTCTAAGTCTCTCCAGCTTCCCTCCCCTCCTCCTCTCCTTAGTCCGTCGTCTGTCCGTTGACTTGTGCCTAGGCTGTGACAGCAGCACGGCCGTGGGTGCTGGACTGCCCAACCCTGAAGCCAAAGTGCGCTCCCCCTCGCACATTGAAACCCATCTGCCCAGAGCTAAGGCCATGACCAGCCCCTCCCACCCTTCCAGAGAACCACTGGGATGTGAGAATGGTGATGTGTGAGTGGGGTCTTGAAGGATGCATAGGAGTTCACTAGGGAAAGGGGATGTCTGCAAAGACATGGAGGAGGGAGGGAAGGGGATGTGAGAAGGGAGGAGGGGAAGCCGGTAGGCCTGGCTCAACTGGATGCTAAAGGGCCTTAGATGCTGGGACTGTTGCCATTGTCCTTCAGGCAGTGGGGAGCCACTGAAAGTTCTTGAGCAGGGGAGTAACCAGTGTATGTTTTGACAAGGTCCTGCTGGAGGCCCCGCCCAGCAGGTTGGGGGTTTGCTCCAGTCCATGGTGATCCAGGCATGGTGGAAGCAGAGAGGCTGAGGGGGCTGCCAATCCAAGATGTAGTAAGGAGATAAAAATGAGGGAACCTGATGAGGAGGCTGGGGCGTGTTGGGGAGACCCAAGTCCCCCATTTCAGAAGGGCAGGGGTGGACAGTCTGTGGGCAGAGCCCAGGCTGTGGTGCCTGTGATGTCTGCTCAGTGGGGTCAAGTCTTGGCCCAGCGCTTCCAGGGAAGGCCCAGGAAGGGCCCAACCGAGCAGGCAGTGGGCGTCCAGCACTGAGTGGCCCCACTTGCTGCCTGGCTTTGTGCCAGATGTGTTATTATTTATTTATTTATTTATTTATTTTTGCGTTGGGTCTTCGTTGCTGCGCGCAGGCTTTCTCTAGTTGTGGCGAGCGGGGACTACTCTTTGTTGCGGTGCATGGGTTTCTCATTGCGGTGGCTTCTTGTTGCAGAGCACGGGCTCTAGGCACACGGGCTTCAGTAGTTGTGGCTCGCGGGCTCTAGAGCGCAGGCTCAGTAGTTGTGGTGCACGGGCTCAGTTGCTCCGCGGCATGTGGAATCTTCCCGGACCAGGGCTCGAACCCGTGTCTCCTGCGTTGGCAGGCGGATTCTTAACCACTGTGCCACCAGGGAAGTCCCGGATGTGTTATTATTTACATTTCTGAGAATGTCTGGGTCCTGGAGCCAAATTACAATGAAAACATCTTTAAACTTATCTCCACCTCATTTTGAAGTTGCCCACTCAACTGATCATTTTTATGAACCGTAATGAACATTGACGACGTTTTATGAGCCTTTTACTTGGGAAGCTACATGATAAGTTTGTCAGCGAAGCCTGTAGGGAAATCCCAGGCTGCTCCTCCGCTGCCTGTAGCCCCCTGCTCACCCCACCTGGCCATGGGATGTGGGAGAGGGCCCAGGTGTCCAGACGCAGGGAGCCCCTAGCAAGAGGCCAGGCCCCAGTGTGAGGGTGCTCCTTCGGCCTGGCACAGGCGCTCAGAGCAGCAGGGCTGATTTTCTGGACTTTGCCAGAGGGGAGACTGAGGGGCTCAGCTAAGAGGACTTACAGCCCATCGGCCCCCCCGCCAGTCCCCCACTGCACACCCCGGCGTCTGGCCAGGGAGGGCTGGCAAGCACACGGCCCAGCAGCCTCACACTGCCCCCACCCCGGCTCTGTCTTTGTCTCTTCCTGGCTCCTTTTGGCCCTGTCCATGTGTCTTTCTGTCTCTAGTCTGCTGTCTGTACTTCAGGCTCTGTCCATCTGTTTGTCTGCTGTTGCCATCCTTTCTGTCGGTCCAGTAGCGCCTGTCCATGTCTGTCTGTCCACCTCCGTCTGTCTGGTCATCTGACTTCATCCATCGATCTTCATCTGTCTGTCTGTCCATCGGTTCCATCCGTCGGTCCATTCGTCCCCGTCCCTCTGTCTGCGTGACTGCAGTGAACCACCTGCCTGGTTGGAGCTCCCCATTAGGCCCCCTGCATCCTGGGCAGCAGGCAGGAGATGTGGCCCCTGCCCTCCCGAGGCCCCTGAGCTGGCCCGGAGGTGGACAAGGGCTGGACAGCACAGCAGGCACTGGAGGAACCCGAGGGCCCCTCACGGGGAGACGGGATCTGAGGGTTCACACGTGTTCAGGCTGGCGTGTACAAAATTTGTTCACGGTTCTTTATATAAAGCCTGGCGTGAATGACACCAGGCTTTATGTAAAGTGAACGACGGAGTGACCACACAGGTTTCCTGGGGCCCATGGGGCAGACCCCCAAGGCAGGGAGCAGGGGTTTGGTGGGTGGACTGTGGCCTGTTTCCCACTAGGCTTCACCTCCCTGGGGCTGCAGCACCTCCCGTGCCTGAATGACCAACGAGTGAAAGCACTGTTGGCCACGGTGGTGGTGAGGGGGGCAGACCCAGTCCCTGCGTGGGGCTCTCGACTGAGGATTCATGGGGAGCAAACTGATGGGGCCTGACCCTACTCCTCAGTCTCTGGGGAGTTGGTCCCCCTCCTGCAGGAGTCCTAGGGACACCAGAAGGGGGTCCCCCTCAAGGGAGAGCTCCGTGGCAGCAGCAGCCTCGCCACTAGGCACCCGCCGCCCCTCCCTGGTGCTGAGGACAGCACTTCTCTCTTCCACCCCCCCCACCCCACCCCGCCCCCACATTGATGAGGATGATAGAGGGGGTGAGGATTGCTGCCAATTAATCCCATAAAGTACTTATTCCCACCCCACCTGCCCTCTTGTTTGCACCGCGGGGGCCTTCTCGCCTCCAGGGAAAGGGGGTTGGGGGTGGGAGAGAGCCTGCATCAGGGTCTCCCAGAGGCTCTAGAGCCCAGCCCTGGAGGCTTCGGAGCTGAAACTGATCTGCTTAGGGGCCAGCTCTGGATTAGCGCGCTCCAGCCACCCAGGCTGGGGGGAGGGGTGCTGGGGGCTATTTAATGAGGTTTAGGGTTGGTTCCCAGGTCACTCAGTGGAGGCCCCCCTTGCAGTGGCCCAGACAGGAGGCTGCTCCGTTACAGGTGGGCTGGGGAGCGAGGGTGCTGGGGAGGGAGCGCTGGCGAGTCACAGGGTGGGCTGGGGAGCCAGGGTGCTGGGGAGGGAGCGCTGGGGTGTCACAGGGCGGGCTGGGGTCCGTCCCTGCTCCTCTTCTGTCGTATCCCAACTTCCTGCCACTCCTGGCTGCATCTGCAAGGTGGCGAGTGGCCCTTCCCTGTGCTAAAGGAGATGCTCTCAGAGCCCCAAGAGCAAACGGGTTGGGGGACCATTCCCTCCCTCTTTTCTCTGGGGTTCTGTGATACAGGCATTGAGCTGATTTGACAGTAAGAGAAATGAGGGAACAAAGTTAAATTTGTGTTCATCCCAGGGTTCTTGGCGGGGAACCCTGGAGAGAACAGAGTGTCCCGAGCACGGGCACACCGGGGCCCGCGGTGCGCGTCTGTCCGTGCGCGTCTGCAGGCCTTGGTGAGTGTGTGTGCGCCCCTGTGTGTCCCTGGACACGCGCACACCTCGTTGGCTGCAGACTTTGCTCTCAACCTCGGTTTCCTTATTTGAAGAAATCGAGAGTCCATGGGTGACTGCAAGTTTAGCACGTGCACAGGAATGAGTGCTGGGCCCCTCTGGCAGCCTACACCCCAGGAGCAGGCCCCCCGAGGCAGGAGGCAGGGACACCGTGGCCGGTCTCTCTGGAGAGAGCACTGCAGGACAGGGCCAGCCCTGCACTCCAGACAGACCCTCCCTGGGAGCAGCAGTGGGGTCTGAGGGCAAGGCCTCCACGTCCAGCCGACACTCGGCAGGAGCTGGTGGGCCCAGGTGGCGCCTGCGTGGGTCAGGGTGAGAGCCCACACCCACCAGGGAATGGAGATGCTCACAGCGCTCACACGCGAGCTCAGTCAGGAGCCCCACCGGGTCTCACCTTCCCCATCTGCTTCGCTGCAGCCAGGACAGCGACCTCCCCACCCTCATATCCAGCCTGCGTCGCAGCCGCCACCTCGTTATGCCAGAGCATCAGAGCCGCTGTGAATTCCAGAGAGGCAGCGTGGAGGTCGGCCTGGGAGCCGCAGGTGAGGGGCCAGGGCAGTGCCGGGGGGGGGGGGGGGGGGGGGGGGGGGGGATGAGGACGGGGCTGCCGGAGCCAGGGCAGCTCAGCGAGAGCATGGCCGCCCCACGGCCCTCCCTGCGTCTCTGCCCGTCGGCTCTGGGTGCCGCCACCGCCCCCAGCAGCCTTGGCGGGCAGCCAGGGAGGCCAGCGGAGGCGGCGGGAGGGGGCGAGGCCGGCTGTCCCCCGGGGCTCTGTGTGATGGTAATTGTGTTAATCCCGGCCAGCCGTGCAGACAGAAGGCGGAGGCGGTGGCTCCACCGTGGCTGCTGCTGCAGGGGGCTTGGAGCGGCGGAGGCCCCAGGGACAGCGGAAGGCAGGACAGTCAGGGAGTGCAGGCCTCACGGAGGCTCCGAGGTGCACACCTGGGAGTGGCTCCCGGATGGGCAGGGACACGCTCTGCACGCACGGAGCACCCACCGACCCCACAGAGCGAGGGGCCCCGAGAGGGAAGGGGGCCACGCCCTGAGAGAAGGGGGACTGGGGCCTGGACCTCTGCAGGGGTGGGGCAGGAGTGTGCTGGCCCAGGAGCTCTGTCCCTGAGGAGGGGCGGCTCTTGGTGACAGCAGGAGCTCAGAGGGAGGGACAACTTGGGGACCCATGAGGCACCACTGCAGAGACTGTGCGGCATGGCTGAGCTGTGGCTGAAGGTGTGGGGGGGTGCTGAGAGGAGGTGGCAGGGGTCCCTTGCTGCCCTATGGACCAGGGCAAACCCGCGAAGTTCCCAGCAGTGGCTGCAGCTCTCAGGAAGGCTGGGTAGGGGATGGTCCACCGTCCTGGGACACCTGAGTACCCCCATCAGGGCCTCCAGGTGTGCCTGTGCCTAGGTAGGCCTCTGGGGGAGTGCTGCTTCTGGAGCCGTGTTGGGGGCGGAGCAGGCGGCTGATAAAATCGAATTGCCCCATCAATCGGGGGAGCCTCCGGAGCCCCACAGTGGTTGAGATATTCTGAGCCGCCAGGCCCCCTGCTGCCTGCACACGTGGAGTCCTCCCCATGGTGCGTGGCCTGAGTGCGCGTGTGCGCCCCGGACCCGGCCAGAGGCCTGGGTATCCACTCACGCCCGTGTGACACGCGTGTGTCAGGGTGCCCTCACTCTTTGTGCTCAGGTGCAAGGCCCGCATATGAGCACTTCGGGGGTCCCACGTGGTCTGTGTGAGGCACCACGTGTGTCCAGGTTTCGCCCGAGCCCTGCCCTCCTCTCGGGACTCCACTTCTCAGCGGCTCCCACGTCCTGCGGCCGGCCCCTGGGTGGAGGCCTTCGCCTGCCCTCACCTTCTCAGCCCCAGCAGCACGTGTCAGTCCTGTTCTTACCCGGGCGGGAAGGGTCGGGAGGAGAGGGCTTGGGGCGGCCCTGCAGACCTCTGGCGACCGTGTGTGTGTCTGCTTCTGGCTGCCCCGGGTGTGCCTGTGAGTAGATGTGGCCTCATGAGGGCCTGGTGAGCCCCAGACCCCCACGGCAGGAGCCCCCTGCGGCCATGGGCCTGGTTCTCACTGTGGGTCCCCCCCACAGTCAGGTGCTCCCCAGCACCTCTCCCAGGCAGAGAGGAGCCCCACCCCCAGCATGGAAAATGGGAAACAGATCGCAGGGAGGTGAGAGCCCTGGGTCGTTCTCTGGGTCCAGGAGGCGTGCGTACAGGGTGGGGTTCGGGCAGCAGGTGTGGACCCAGCCCAGACCCACCTTCCCGTCTGGCACAGCTGGACGCTGCAGCCCTGCTGGCCGGAGACCCTTTGGCTTCCCGAGGGGCCTTGTGCAGGTTGAGCACCCCCCCACCCATCCTGCTAGGTCACTGAGGTAGGACCCTTCGTCTGGGCGGTCCCTCGTCCCTCCCGTCCCTCCCGGTGCAAGGCCTGGGGCTAGGCCCCTGGGCCCCGGCCAGTGGCAGGAGGTAGCCGAGATCAATAAGTTATTAGCACCATTCTGTCAGCTGTAAAGTGCAGATTGATCTGCACGCACTTCCCCACCTGATAAAAATGACAGATTAAAGGAATAAGGAGAAGGCGGGCCCCTCACCCACCCAGAGCCCCGTGAGGATGGAGAGGGGGCCAGGAGCACGGGGTCTGGACGGGAGGCCAGCACTGTGGTGGGTTAGGGTAGGTAACTGTGGTGGGTCCAGGAGACCGAGCCAATTGCTGAGCTGTTCCACAGAAACCTCCCAGGCCTTGGGCTCGGGAGGGAGCCTGGTGTCTGGGTGCAGGGGCTGGGATGGATGAGTATGGCTTGGATGTGGGACCTGAGAGAGGACTTCAGGATGGGGGTGGGGCTGGGGCGGGGCTTGGGCCACGTGAGCGGCTGTACGCAGTGGGTGAGGCTGCTTGGGGTGCCCTTGGGGGCTTAGCCCAGCCGGGCAGGTGGGCATTTGTGTGACAGGCCAGGCCAGGGTGGTGGCTCGGGCTTTCTGGGGGCAGTGAGGGATGTGGCCTGGGGGCAGGGGCCCAGGAAGAATGGGTGTGGCAGGTGTGCCGGGGTCTGTGGCCTCTAGGAAGAGCTTTGGGTACCCTGGCACGGGACTCTGCACTGCCGGTCCTCACCCGTACCCTAGGAAGAGAGGTTGGTTTCCAGTCAAATCAGGGTGCTGAGGAAGGCTCCTTACCCTGCAGAGGAGACTAGTCTGGCTGGTGCGGGCAGCATGGCACCTGTGGGGTCCCGAGTTGCTACCTGAGGCCGTAGCTGTGGATCTCCCATCGTATCTATGCACACACAGTCCAGAGCCCAGGGTCTGGACCGTCCCAGGCCCTCGCCCTGTCCCAGCCCCACATGAGGGACCCCAGGCTGGGCACGGCTTTAACCTGGCCAGGACCCACAGGCACCCCTGAGGAATGAGGGGTGTGGTTCCAGGCTGAGCTGGAGCTGGGCCGGGACTGAGGCCGGTATTGGGGTGGGCCTGAGCTGTTCCCGCCCTGGCCCCTACAAGCCCTGAGAGGCAGGGCGGGGTTCACTCTGCCCTCTCCCAGGTGACCTGTTGGGCAAGAGGCTGGGTCGCTCCCCCCACATCAGCGGTGACTGCCCTTCGGAGAAGAAAGCCCGAAGCAAGTCCCCTCAAGGTGTGAGCCCGACCCCCGGGGGGTGGAGGCACAGGCACTGGAGAGGAAGGGGGACAGCCCGGACCCTCTGCAGGGCAGGGTCAGCACAGCAGCAGTTTCTAAGAGGGGAGCCCCTTGCCTCTCCCCCTCGGCTGTATCTGAAGGGGAAGACCCCCTCTCCTGTGCTTGCCCAACACAGAGGGTCCATTGCTTCCGGAACTAGGGCCCGGCATGGCCCCCGAGGACCATTACCGCCGGCTGGTGTCCGCCCTGAGTGAGGCCGGCACCTTTGAGGACCCTCAGCGTCTCTACCACCTGGGCCTCCCCGGCCACGGTATGTAGCCCCTCCCCAGCATGAGAGCCCACCACGTGCACCGGACTCTCCCTGTCCCGAGAGGTCTCTGCTCACCCTGCAAAGAGGCCCTGGGGTCTCTGGCTGCTGACACCAAGGCTGGGATTGCATGCAGGTCTTTCGGCCCCTCAAACCTCGAAAACCCTTGTAGGTGGGCAATGAGGCCCACCTCCTCCTCCCCCTGCCCAAGCAGCGCTTGTTTGGGTGGATCTGGGGGAGTCCCCCCACAACAGGTCTCCCACAGACTCTCCCAGCTGGGCCTCGAATGGCCACTGTCACTTCACAGATGAGGAAGCTAAGTCTCGGGAGCCCACGCGAGAGTGGGAGGTGGGGGTTTCCCCAGGCCCAGCGCACGCAGGGCCCCGTGGCCCCTGGTCTGGACGGCTCCGTCTGGCGAGTGCCAGGCCCCTCCTCGGGGAGGCCAAGAGCGGGGCAGCAGTAAGCCCCTGAAAGTCCACTGTGGACGTCCGTCCAGAAGCAGGATGGGCGACGGTTCAGGTTTGGCCGCCCGGCCTTCACCAGTGCTCAGAAGGCGCTCCGGACAGAGGCGCCATGCCCATCCCACCCGGCTCCCAGATGGGACGCTTGGAAGCCCCCCTGCCACCGCGAGGGCACAGTCCAGCACCCTGTCCAGCTGCACCCGGGCTTTGCAGACCCCAGTCCGGGGGCTGGGGCCGGGGGCTTGCCTTTTCTGGCTGGAACTGGGTGAGAGGGTGCTGGGAAAACGGGGCCGGATTTCCTCTCCTTACACAGGCACTGTCCCCCAGGGCAGTCAGGCACCGAGAGCCTGAATAATTCACCAAATGTTAATAATTTAAAAATCTTCCTTTTTAATTGCTTTCCCTGCTCTGCCTGGGGCCGGCTCCGCCGGCCTGCGCGGGGAGGGGCGATGGCCGCGGGGAGCGGCGCGGAGTCGGGCTGTCAATCAGGCCCCCGCCCGCCGCCCCCGCCCAGAGCCGACGGTAAATAACCCAGGCCGCGGGCGGGCGGGGGCGCGGGGCCCTGCCGGGATCGGGATCGATGCGGGCGGCCGCGCCGGCTGGGCTCTGCGGCCTGGCACCCGGCCCCGGGCAGGACCCACCTCCGCTTTTCGGGTAATTAATTTATAAACAGGCGGTGGCGGCGGAGCCTGCACAGTGGGGGGGCTACGGGGGGGGACTGTGAGGTCCGGCCCTGAACAGGACAGAGGGCCAGGGGTGGGGAGCAGAGTGCGTAGACCGCACAGTGGCCCGGGTGTTACCTAGGAGGGGGTTGGAGACCCGCCCCAACTCCTGGACAGGTCCCACTGCCCTCACTCTGGGGCCTTTGCACGACCCCTCCCCTCACGGGCTCTGCAGCCTTGCTCTCGGCAGTCTCAACTCTGGTTCCTGCACCACCAGACTCCCCTGCGTGAGACCTTTCCCTCTCTCCATCCCAACCACTTTCTTGTTTCTGACATCCCCATATCCCTTACAAATGCCCACTTGGCCCCCCTCCCAAGACCGGTGGGTGCCACCAGCGGGCCTTGCGCTGGGATGTCTGGTGTCGGCCCTGCCCCATGGCCTTCTGCTCGTCTTTCTGTCCCGGTGACGAACCAGCAGGGTCGGTGGGAGAATGTGCTCCGGGTCTGCGTGTCCTTGGCCAGTGTACTACAGGGTGTGGGGGACATGAGGGCCTGGTGGGGGCTGGCCTCTGGGTCACTGCTGCTGCTGCCCCCTCCTCAGATCTCCTGAGGGTCCGGCAGGAGGTGGCAGCGGCAGCCGCGAGGAGCCCCAGCGGCCTGGAAGTCCACCTGCCCTCATCCACAGCAGGTCAGCGTCGGAAGCAGGGCCTGGCTCAGCACCGAGACGTCACCGCCCCAGCTGGCGCCCCGTCCTTCTCAGAGAGGTATCGGGGTGCCTGCATTTCAGAGAGACCCCTACATTTCCTGTGCTTGTTTCGGGGCTACAGAGCTGCGGTTGGCAGACCTATCACCTGGTTTCTGCATGTGAGGTCCACAGCCCGCACTTCCCCTTCGCCGCTGTACAGCCGCAGGGTCCTGAGTGAACCGGGCACTGTGCTCGGGCCTCGGTTGGTGGCAGCCGGGCAGAGGCCCAGAACACTTCTGGGGTAGAATGTGTGGGGGTGACCATCTCTCTGGGTGGGGTGTGTTTCCACGGAGCAGCTGTGGGGCCCGCTGAATCCAGGTGCCCCTGAGACAGCTGAGGGCTTTGCTCCCCCAACAGGTAGGTGAGGGGGCTTGAGGCAGAGGAGGGGGGGCAGTGCAAGGTCTGGGAACCCCAAAGTCGGAGGAGAGCTGGGGGCGGGGAGAGCCCCCCAGCAGTACCGATTCAGACACCGGAGCCGCTGGCAGCACAGGCGAGGCCTCCGGGGCTTGTAGGGGCCGGAATACCCCAGGAGGGGGCTGGGGCGGAAGGACTTCGGAGGCTCCCCGCCCCTCCCGCCGGGAGGCCGCCCTCGCGCCCGCGCCCGCGAGTTTCTGGCTGCAGCCGCCGCCTCCCGGACCGCGGCTAATTGCGCCGCGTCCGCGCAGGGTCGGCCAGGGGCAGGGGCCGCGGGGGCGGGGGCCCCAGCGCGGTAATTACCGCCACAGTCGCCGCCGCCCGCCGGGCCAGCGCCTCCGCGCCGCCGCCGAGATTAATTGGCGCCGCTAGCGGGGGCGGAGGCGACCCGAGCCGCGGCGGGCGCACATCGACCGCCCGCAGGGCCGGCAATTAGCAGAGGCGGCCGGACCGGGCGGCCGCGGGGGCGGGGGGCGGGGGGCGGCAGTTCCGGGAAAAAGGGGGCGCGCGGGGAGGGGGCCCGAGGCTGCGGCTCGCGCGGCTCACCACCCTGCTGTCCACAGGGAGTTGTCGCAGCCGCCCCCCTTGCTGTCGCCCCAGAATGCCCCCCACATCGCCCTGGGCCCCCACCTCAGGCCCCCCTTTTTGGGGGTGCCCTCGGCACTGTGCCAGACCCCAGGTGAGGAGTAGGCTGGTGCGCGATTCTGTGCCCCGGAGGTTGGGGGGTGGGGTGGGGCTGTTGATGCGGGGCCAGCCGGGTTCGTCTGTCACAGACCGCGTGTCCATCAGTGCTCCCGGCGAACCCGCCCCTCCCCCTATGGAAGCCAAGGACAGACCAGGGCGGGCTTGGGTGGCCCTGGACCACTCGGCCACCCGGCCTCGTGGTCTGTCCCCTTCCCACCAGGCTACGGCTTCCTGCCCCCTGCCCAGGCGGAGATGCTCGCCCGGCAGCAGGAGCTCCTGCGGAAGCAGAACCTGGCCCGGTAGGTGCTTCACCGCGGGGTGGGGCGGCGGGGCGGGAAGTGTCACTGCCGAGCTGGCTGATACTCTGCGGTCTGTCTCCACGGCCAGGCTGGAGATGTCAGCAGAGCTGCTGCGCCAGAAGGAGCTGGAGAGCGCGCACCGGCCGCAGCTGCTGGCACCCGAGGCCGCCCTGCGCCCACCCGACGGTGCCGAGGAGCTGCAGCGGCGCGGGGCTATGCTGGTGCTGAGACACAGCTCTGCGCCCCTGCTGGCCCTGCCTCCCCAGGGACCCCCGGGCCCCGGTCCCCCCACCCCGCCCCAGGAGCCTGCCCGCCGAGCTCCTCGGAAGGGGGGCCCCAGCCCTGCCTCAGCCCGGCCCAGTGAGCCCAAGGAGACCACAGGGGCTGGGCTCTGGGCACAAGACGGTTCTGAAGATGAGCCCCCCAAGGATTCAGACGAAGAGGACCCCGAGATGGTGGCTGCTGGGGGCCAGGGCCCAACTGGAGGGGCCAGCTCTGAGGGGAAGGGGCTTGCCTCAGGGTCCATGCTGCCCCCTCCACTGCCCCTGGGCTTGCCTTACACGGTCAGCCCCTACTTCCACACAGGTGGGCACCCCCGCCATGCCTTTAGATCCCTCCATGGGGTGGAAGGAGACCGTCCCCCATCCCCCACCCAGGGTCTCAGGGAGGGCATCCACCGGGAGAAAGATCCCTTTCCGTCATCAGTCCAACATTTCTGAACAATTAGGGCGAGCAAAGGTCAGCAGACAGGGGTGGGAGCATAGAAAAGAGCTGGCCAGAGTCCTAGTAACACTCTACCCCCAACCCAGGCGCCACGGGGGGCCTCTTCGTGGATGGGGAGGGGGCCACAGCGCCCGAGGATGTCAGCAAGTGGACAGTGGACGACGTCTGCAGCTTTGTGGGCGGCCTGTCCGGCTGCGGAGAATATGCACCGGTGAGGGGACCCGCCCAGGATGGTCTGAGCACCCCCGCTACCCAGTGCTGCTTCCCACCCCAAGTTTCTCCTCAAAGACTGCGGGGGTGGGGTATGCACCAGTGCCCCCAGTCAGTGCGTGCTGTCAGTGCTTCCGCCTCCAAGGTGGGACACATGCCTAACACACAGGAGACTTTCATCTGACGCTTCTTCCTGCAACTGCGCCAGCCGCTCCTCTTGGCTCCGCTTCCTCTGGAGAGCTTTGAGGCCACCCCAGGACGCACGGCCCTGGCACTCATGCCCTGACACTGTGCCCCCCACCCCCAGGTATTCAGAGAACAGGGGATTGACGGGGAGACCCTGCCCCTGCTGACAGAGGAACATCTCCTGACCACCATGGGGCTGAAGCTGGGGCCTGCTCTCAAGATCCGGGCCCAGGTGAGCGCCTGCTGGGGGCAGTGGTCTCCAGACAACGGAGGGGCAGCACTGAGGCTCTGCGTGTGGCTGTACGGTGGCAGCCCCGCAGGCCCCATCCAGGCCCGTCTCTCCACAGGTGGCCAAGCGCCTGGGCCGAGTCTTCTACATGGCCAGCTTCCCCGTGGCTCTGCCGCTGCAGCCACCAACACTGCGGGCTCCCGAGAGGGAGCTCAACTCGGGGGAGCAGCCCCTGTCCCCAGCACCGGCCCCCTCGCCCTATGGGGGCGCGCAGCCCCCTGCCAGCCGAGCCTCACCCAAGCAGGAGAACGGAACCATGGCTCTGCTCCCAGGGCCCACGGACCCCTCCCAGCCTCTGTGCTGAGCTGGTGTCAGACCCCCCATCCTTCACTGCCGGCTGCTCCCCGGCAAAGGCCCCCAACCCCACAGCTTATCCTCCTTTCGGTTTTGGATGCAAAAACACAATTTTTAAAATGAAAACACATGATTTAAGAGGAAAAGAATGAGTTTCCAAAGACTCTCTGCGGGTGCCTGCAGGGCCTGGTGCAGACCGCGTGGGGACTGAACCCAGGCACGGGGCGGGGGTGCTGCACGCTGGGTGGCTGCGGACAAAGCAGAGATGGAGAAGGCGCAGGCGCACCCCAGGCCCTGCAGCGTTGGCCGTGCGCACGGCATGACCGCGTGCCAACGCCGGGCAGAGCCCCACTCCAGGTCGGCACCTTCACGGGGTAGGTGCGTCTCACCCGCCACCATAAGCTGCGGCAGGAGGCCAGCCCCACGGTGGTTTATGGCCGCCACTCCAAGACTTGGAACAGCACTTGGTCCTTTCTGGTCTCTTATGTTGTAAAAATAAAGCCCTATCCACCATCTACGCCCTGCGTGGGCACAGACCCCAGGGCCTCGGCTCAGCCGCAGCCAGGAAGCAGCACACCTGACTGCCTAGTGAGGTTGGGAACGCCATGCAGCAGCCCCCCACAAGGCTCCAGGCGGGCAGCCCTCAGTCGTCCTCGTCCTCGGAGAGCTCTAGATCCTGCAGCTCATCCTCCGGCCCCTGGGCCAGCCGCCACGGCTCCTGGGGGTCCGGCCCCGCCTCTGTGTCTGGGTTTCCATCTGCAGGGAGAGCGCACAGCTACATAAATTCTGCTTTATCAGGAAGAAGCCAGCCTGGGAGGTTACTCATCACTAATTAATCACAGCACTAATTAATTTATCGCTACTACTGCTGTTGCTGGGGGCCAGAGCCAGCGGGGATGGAGCAGCTGGCCCAGTGTGTGGGGGAGGGGGGAGGGCGTGGGCCCAGCTTAGAGCCGATGGCCCTGCCCACCCACCGGATCCCCCATGACAGTCTCGGTCCCCAGACAGATGGGCTCAAAAACCACGGCACCCCACGCTCTCAGGAACCACTTACCCTCTGAGCCGCTGACTTCCTCCACCCTCTGCCAAGCTCCTGGGGACCCAGGCGTCCCTGGGGACCAAGCACAAGAGCCCATGGGGGTGGACCCACCAGCAAACGCACAGAGGGGCAGCTAAGGCAGGACGGGGGCCGGGGCACAGCCCTGGACCCCACTTTCCCTTAGGTCTCCTCTGTTCAAGTGGGAGAGGACCCAGAACTGCCCTGAAAGATGGTGGTGGGAGGGGGTGACACAAGGCCTGGGGGCCCCACCTCTCTCTGGGAAGTCGGGGGCGGCGTCGGCGTCCTCGGCGTCGGCGTCCTCAGCGACGTCCAGATCAAAGAGGTCCTTGAATTCTGCTCTGTCCTCACTCTTCCTGTCCGCCACCTTGCGGCGCTTTACCTCTGGGAAGTTCAAATCTTCCAGCTGGAAGGACAGGGACCCAGAGCTGCAGGTGAGGGTGGGCTCTCAGGGCTGCCTGCCCACTGGCCACAGCCCAAACCACAGCCCAAGCCCAAGCCCGACTCACATTCCAGACCCAGTCCTGCACCCTCCTACCCCGTGAGGCCCTCCTCTAGCCTCCAGCCCCCACCCCCATGCAAGGACCTCGTTTGGCCACTTTTGGGACACTTGGTCGGCATCACTGGGTAGGCTCCCTAGACAGCTGCCCTACCAGGCCAGTGAGGAGGCCGCTAAGTGACATCAAAGCTGCAGGCTCCAACCATGCTCCTTCCCTAATTTTCAGCCATCACTCCCAGAACAGATGGCCTGCCCATACTGACACCAGGACAGGGATGCAGACAGTCATGCCGCTTGGCACGAAGCTGTCCCCTCAGGTCACAACGTCACGTACCCACCGATCAGGCCCAGACCCAAAGACAGAGCTAGAGCTCTTCCTGTACCTCCCTGCTGGCCCTTCTGGTGTCCACAGGCTGGCCTAGGTGACAAGGTCAGCCCAGCACTCACTCCTCCAAAAGCCCCAGCCCGTCAGGCCTGAGGGGTAGCAGCCTCTGCCCCAGCACAGCCCTGGGGCCTCTCCACCTGAGGGTCATGGGAGAAGCCCCCAGACTCTCCCCGGTTCTGCCCGCCATCCGCCTCATCAGAGCATCGGCAGCGCCAGCACACGGTGCAGCTAGGGTGGCTGGGGGCAGCACCCACCGACCCCTGCTGACATCCTCTCAGCCGTGCCCACATCCCCAACAACCCACCACCACCATACCCGCTCTTTGCCACTGATCTCCAGCTGGATCTCACGGTCCCTCAGCTTCCGCCACTGGCTGTAGTACTTCGTGAGCGGGGTCCCCTCCTCCCGGGTTCGCTTCTCCCAGGCATCCTGTGCAGGGAGATCCAGGGTCATGTCCCACCCCGGGCAAAGCCCCAGACCTCAGCCACACACTGACCAGTGGCCCCCGGGCCCCGGCACCAGCCCCCAGCTGACCACTGCACGCTGGTCGGACACGCCGAAGGAGACCCTCTGGCGGAGCCTGCGGATGTGTTCTGCGTTCTCCTGCACCTTCTCGAGCAGCTGGCGCACCTGACGGCAGTAGTTGGCCACCTTGCACTCCCGGAGGAAGGATTTCAGCTGCAGAAGAAGGGGGGCTCAGCCTAGCCCCAGGCACAAGGCTACTCTGCACCCTGCAAGCGGTGACCACAGGCAGGCGGGGGCGGGTCATGGGTTCGTGTGTCTCAGAGCCCTGGGGGACACACCTGAGGTTGAGGGGAGCCCCAGTGCAAGTGTGTGGGGGGACGGGGGGGTTGGGTGACTCTATGGCCCAGCCCTTAGGGACCTGTGGCGGTCGAAGGGCTGACGGGAGGATGACCACCAACCCCGTGGGCCAGGCAGAGGGGTGGGCAGGGGCAGGATGGATCCACCCTCCAGGCCACATCCCGCCTGCTGCCTGTCTAAATAAAGTCGTGCTGGCACACGGCACACTCATTCGTTCCTGCGTTTCTGTGAATTTTTTTGCACTTCTGCGGGCAAGTTGAGCGGATTGAGAAACCCCGTGATTGCAAAACCTAAAATATCTACCATCTGACTTTTTACCAAAAACGTTTGTTGACCCTCTTCTAGACCATGATCCCCAAGACTCAGAGAGAGGACGACGCACACACACCTATGTCTGAGCAACCCTGCCCCACTCACTACCAGGGCCAGACGGGCACAGGCCTCCCTGAAATGAGAAACCTAGGCTGAAAGTAAACGGATCTCCAAGGGGCTTCTGAGAGGAAAGACCCCCCCCATCCCACCCCGAATGTCACCTGAAGAAAAGCTGAGGTGGGCGGCCAGGGCTTCCTGTGACCCCCTAACGTCTCCTACCTCCTCACCTGGCCCAGGAGCACCTGGGAAAGCATGCAGTGAGACCAGCCCGACCCAGAGCCGGGGGCCGGTGCAGCCTGCTGAGCCCCAACACCCCCAGGAGCCCTCACGGCTGGTCCAGGCCCTGGGCTGTAGCACGTTAGAGCAGGGCTGACAGGTCCTGGGGTCCTCCTGACGCACCCGGGCCAGCGCCCTCCTCAGGCTCCCAGGCATGTACCCCAACACCACGGCCCCGGGGACCCAGCTGCCAGGTGATGCCAGCACAGAGACCCCAAGCTGACCAGGCCCTGCCACTGGCCCTGTGCGGCTGTGACAGGGCTGCCCTGCTCTGGCCCCACGCGAGGGGCGCCAGCCCGTCAGGAGGCGGTCTGGTCTGCTGAGGGGTTGGGCCCACGGAGGGACTCGGGCGGGGGGCAGCGGGCACACACCTGCAAGACAGCGGGCAGCGCCAGCTCGGGGAATGCAATGCTGTGGGCCTGACCGTGCAGGTACTCCAGGCTGAGGTCGTACAGCTGCTCCACCAGGCCATCCTGAGGCAGCGAGGGAGCGGACAGCGTCAGGGCAGAGGGGAGCTCAGACCTCGGAGCTACACTCGGGCTCAGGCTCATCAGGCTACCCAGCCCCGGGAGGCCCACAAGGTTCAAGCCTGGAGGGTAGCGGGCCTTCTCCCATCCACACTCGTCTACCTCCAGTCACCCCGCACGCTGACCTCGGTGCCCCGTGACATCCTGCCGTGACCCCGCCCAGGGCGTTCCCGGACCCCTTTGGAGGCTGGGCTCACCCGGTACGCCTTCTCCTGCAGGTTGACCTTGGACAGCTTCAGGATCACAGCAAAGTTGATGGGCCTGGAGCTCATGCGCCCCGGCCTCCTGTTGAAGTCGACCTGCTGGAAAATCTGCCCCAAGGACCCGTCAGCCTAGCCTGCCCACCCCAGTACCCTGGGTCTCTGGACACCCATCTTGAGACCAAGGACAAGTGGCCAGACACAGTGCCAGCCCCACGGCCTCACAGACACCAGCCCCTCCCCGCACAGCTCCAGATCTCTGGTCCCCAAGGGAGTCCCTCTGCCCTAGAGCAGGGCCCTGGTCAATGGGGCAGGACCAGGCCACACCCTTACACACTGCTGCTGTCCCCCTCCTGAAACCGGGCCAGAAAAACATGAGAATCAGTGTCTGGAGACAAAGAAGGGTCCCTCCTGCACAGGGTCACCATCACTGCAATTTCCTCACCCACGATCGCATCCCCACAGCCTGGTCCCGGCCCTAGTGGACCTCTAGCCTTTGGACTGAAGCCTCTCCCTACCTAAGCTACGTGCACACGTATACACACGGATACACACGCACAGAGGCAGCAAAGGGAACACAGCTTTGGAATCAGACGGGGCTTTCAGCCCAGCTCCGCCGCTCACTCTAATCTTGGGGAAACACCCAGATCGACCCAAGTCTGTGCCTTAAAACCAGCGCCCTCGGGCCAGCCCAGCAGAGCAGCTGTACTCACCTGCGGTGCCACTCTTGCCTATCGGGCAGGCACCGCACACAGTTAACACCCTCACAACCCGTGTGCTATGCGCAAAGAGCCAGCACTCAGGAGAGCTGCACCGAGTTGAGGAGTAGTCGGGCCACATGCGGCAGGAGGCGTCTTCCCTCCCGCACCCTCCGCCCCACCTCGAGCACCTGCTCACCTCAAGGATGAAGGGCAGCACCGGGATGAAGGTGCCTGTGCTCTCCGAGAGCAGTGTCAGGGTGCGCACGCAGTGCATGCGCAGCGGGTAGAAGCGGGCCGTGGGGACCAGCCTGGGGATGTGGGAAGGCGGGAGTGAGCAGAGACCCCAGACTCAGACACCCCCAAACCAGCCTCACCTGCCTGGCCCCGCTGCCTCTGAACTCTCCCCACCCACTGGGCTCCAACCTCAGGAGGGGCTCCTCCCCGGCAGGGTCAGCAGCCACACCAGCCTCAGACAGATAAAAGCAGGACAGAAGACCCCCACCGAAGTCGCAGTTCTAAGGACCTGCCTCCTTGCTCAGTTACGGGGGCGGGCACCCCACCCCACCTGGCTAGCAACTCAATTTCATTTTAACACGTGAGACAGCAAAACTGTTCTTTCTTCTCCCTTCAGGAGAACAAGGATGCCCTCTGCTGGCCACATGTGGCTCCGCCCATCTCTGCCCCCACAGACCAGCACGATATTCATAGGCAAACCAACCCCAGCCGTGCCTCGTCACTCCAAACCTGCTCTGTCCAAGACGTCCAGGCAGATAACCCCAAATGCCTTCAAACTGCACACAGTCCCCTCTACCCCGCGTCCCCAGAATGCACGTGTGTGCGGCATCCTGGACTAAGGTACCAGGTCACAGGCAACCAACGGGCCCAGCTGACAACGATTCTGGGATACCAGGGACAAGGCCACGGACAGCCTCAGCCCAGACCTTCCTCAGGTGCTGCCAAGTCACAGACACCACACCTGGAGGCCCCAGCTGCCAGGGGCACTGGCCAGACCCTCTGTGAACAACCCTGACCCTACCCTGACCTCCAGGACAGCCTCCTGTAACCTTCTCCCTGTGTAGCCCTGGCCCCACCTCCTTCAGCCCTCGGGGCAACCCCCCAGCCGCGACTCACTTGATGCAACCGATGACAACCTGGGACAGGGGGTAGATCAACGGCTGCAGAGCTTCACTGGGGCAGATGGTGCTGAGGGCGCGGCCCCACAGGTGGAGGCAGTGGACGAACTGCCAGCTGTACACGGACTGGCGCGTCTCCTGGGCAGAGCGCAGTCGCCCCGGTCAGCCCCGCCCAGGTGAAGGGGTCCCCTGCACCTATGCCACAGCCCCCGCCAGCAAGGGCCCTGGCGCCTGCCGCCAAGTGGCTGAGCTGCCTCTCGCAGGAGGCCAGGCCCCCACCCCCGCAGTGGGTCGGGCCCCGCCCCCACCCACCTTCTTGCGCGTGGTCATGGCATTGCGCAGGTGGATGGCGAGCTGGCGGATGTAGAGGAATGCGTGCTGATAGGCAACGCCCGCATCCAGGGCCAGCAGCTCTGTCAGAGTCCGCTGCATGAAGTTGACGAGGGGCAGGGTGCTGGGGGAGGTGAACCTGCAGTTCCTCACGTACGTGATGTACATTTGCTGCCGGAAACACCTTAGTCAGAGCCACCTCTGAGCTCCCAGGGCCGCATGCCCCCACCACCCAGCTCCAAGCCCCCTGCAGACACCCGGGCCTTTCCCTCAGAGCTCGCCTCAGCAGGAACCACGGCCCAGCCACGTGTGCCGCAGACCCCCCCGCCGCACGGCCCTGCTTCTCGAGGCCCCACTGCTGCTCAGCCCACCGGCCCCGGGCAGAGTCTGCAGTGCCGAGGGGAAGGGTCTTACGGGGAGGCCTAGACACCCAGGAAGGAGGGAGCTGCAGCATGAATAACCGTGCGAAAGGGCAAGGGCCGTGGACGGACCAGAAGGGAAGGAGGCAGAGAAGCCCCAGCTGCCCGCCAGGCTGATGCAGGGCGCTTCTAGAGGGTTCTGTGCAGGGCAGGCCACCCCAGGCTTAGAGCCAGGCAGCAGGGTCCCCGTCCTTCTCCACGTCTGATGTCCTCGTCCACTGAGGGGAGAGCTGTGCAGGCCACTCCATGTGGAGCCCCAGGGGGACCAACGGCTCCTGTCCCCATGCCATCCCGTCCCCCACTTCTCTTGGAGAAAGCCATGACGAGGACCTGGGTCTGCCCAGGGTCACAGCACCCGCGAGAAACACCGACCACAAAGGCAGCCTGCCCAGCCCTCAGGTCAAGACTTTCAACCCGGACCCTAACGGAAGAGCCGGGGGCACCGCTACCTTGAGGACGGGGCTCAGGAAGACGTCCTTCTTGTGCCGGCAGACCTTGACGAGCACCAGGAAGGCCAGCACACGCAGCGTCTCCTCACCCGTGCCCCACAGGACCACCATCCTCTGTGGAGGCGAGTTGTCACCGCCTGCCCCGGGCCCCCCACCCCCCACCCCGAGCCCGGCCAGAGACAGTCCTTCCCACAGCACCCCCCCCGGGGAACTCCCCGAGTTAGGGCTCAATCGGGGAGGAGCGAAACCAAAGCACGTCACCCCTCCTGAAGGCCGTATGGTGAAAACTGACCTCTGCTGTCCAGCGCATGTATGCACGTGGGTGCCAGAAAGCTGCCCCCCGCCCCCCAGGGGAGCCCGTCCTCGCGTGACTGGGCTGTGCTGCCTCGAGTGTGCCCCAAAAACAGAACCCCATGGGGTGGCACAGATGCCCCCTGCACTCCAGCCGGCAGCTGGGCTGCCCTGAGGCCAACACACCTTGAGCAGCATGCGGCACTGCTTGGGGAAGGTCAGGTAGTAGGGCACGGAGCTGCTGACGTGCTGGAGGACGGCCGCCGCTACTGTCGTCTCTGCCACACAGACCACCAGCTGGGGAAGCAGGAGAGGTCAGCGAGGCCCGGGATACGAGGAAGGATTGGACCGGTGGATGCGGCCAGGCCCCCACGTGACCCGGCAGGCCCTGCCCCCCAGGACTGCACCTGTGTGACGGAGCTCAGGTAAGCCTTGATGTCTAGCCGGAGCTTCCCCCACAGCGGGCTGCTGGATGGCTGCCGCACCCTGCAGGGAGACCGCGCCCTCCAGCTCAGACACGAGGCCACAAGGAGGGCACCAGGAGGCCACCAGGAGGCAGGGGTGTGCCCCAAGCCACGTCCCATCCAGGACACACACAGTGTCCAGGACGCAAGGGCACATGGGCCCTGTGGTGAGACACCCCGCCCCCCATCTTTCCCATGAGTTCAGGGACCTTTCCAGCTGGATAGACGCGAGAGACACACCAGGACTCTCTCAAGGATGGCCCACAGCTACACCTAAGGAGGGGTACCACCAAGCCCCAAGCCCCCCACAGGCCACCCCACCCGGCCAGAGGGCTGACCATCCTTCCTGTCTGAGCCCAGGGCCAGCCACTTCCCCCAGAGCCCCCAGACAGACCCCTGGCCTCCAGCTCCCCACACCTCTCAGGCACCCACACTCCGCAGTCCCAGGTCTGACCCAGGCATCGCCAACCAGCACAACAAGCTGTCTTCCTTTGGGCCACGTACAGTTTTTGTCGTTGTTGTTAGCCTTGCGGCTTACGGGATCTCAGTTCCCCGACCAGGGATTGAATCCGGGCCACGGCAGTGAAAGCACCGAATCCTAACCACTGGACCACCGGGGAACTCCCCGGGCCACATACGCTTTACAGAGACCAAGTCATTTACACCTTAATTTCAGCAGCAGTGACTGGTGCCTAGGAGGTTTCTCAAAGGCATCGCCTCTCAACACTTGCAGAACTCAGCACGTTAAGTGTCTGTTAACTCTGCTAACGTGTGCAAAAGAACCAAAGACAGGGGCCCCTGTTAGCCTCCCCATGGGCTGAGGCCGGCTGCTGGGCACCTGGAGCCACGACCCAGGCGGCGCTGCCGCTTCCTCCCAAGCCCGCTGTCCTCCATGGTGACCGCTCTCCCCACTGCAGCGGCCCCCACGGAAGCCCGCACCCAGCCAACGCCAGCACCACTGAGCGCTGCCTCTTTGCTGACCACTCACTCACTGCCTGTGGCCCTCCACTCTCGCCAGCAGCCAGCTGCCCTGCCTCCTCAGGCAGCCACCCCTACGCGGCCGCATCAGTCCAGCCCCGACCATGCCCCCAGGCCCAGGTACTCCCAGCCCCGAGTCCCGGCCTCTTCCTCCTCCCCCGCCAGGTGGTCCCAGCGGACCTCTCCCTGGAGCTTCCTTCTCCCTCTGAGCAGTGTCGGGGTGAGTGTGACCCTCCAAGCCTTTCCTGCCTCCGGGTCACGTGGCCGCAAGCTCCTGGGAGCCCCAGTGGAGCCCGCAAGCTGCCAAATGCGGGCTGCTGCTCCACCCCCTCTGGAAACCTTCCAGGGCCTTCGCTCAACTGACCTCTCACACGGAAGTCAAGGTCCTCGAGCCAGCATGGATGGGGCCCCTGCCTAGACACACACACTCGCACCAGCCAAAGAGCAAGGAGAGCGGACAAGACTTGACTTGTCCAAAGAGAAAAGAGAGAATCCTGACCAGGAAAGCCAGGGGAGCAAAGCCCAGCACACACTCTGTGGCCCTTGAGGAATTCTGGGCAGGAAGGAGGAAGGACAGGGCTACCCCCATAGGGCCCTGAGTGTCCAGCCTCTCCCAAGAGCCCCACAAAGAGCCTGGCTCTGTCCTCCACATCCCTCTGTGCCAGCTAGGCCTAGAATGGGCCCCTAGGTCCCAGAGCCCCTGCCTTCCCCAGTGCAGGGCCCGACCATGCCGCCCCATGCCATCCTCCTCCCTCTTACCTGCTACTGTCCTTCGGGGCTTTTCTAAACAGCAGCTCCTGGAGACAGCCAAAGAGATCTCTGATGCAGAAAGTGACCAGAGCGTTGAACACTGCAACGAGGGAACCAGAGATGCCACTCTCAGGACAGAAAATGGAACACAGAGACTGTATCCCTGGTCCCCTCACCCCAGCTCACCAGCACTGTCCGTGACCTGGAACTTGCTGGTCTCAGTGCCTTCCTGTTCTCCTTGGGCGGTGGCCACGGCTGCTCGAAACGCCTGCACAACTTCGTGGAATAGCTTTGGAGTGAGGTGCTGCTAAAAGGGCAGAAGGACCCAGAATGTTGGAGGAGCTGTCAGCTAGCTGGGGCTCCAGGAATCTGCTCTATGAGAGGAAGGCATCCTCGGCCACATCCTCAGACCAAAAGCAGAGGTGGGAGCAGCGTTATGGAGCCATGTGCAAGGAACAGAAAGAGTCCAGCATCCTCCTGGAAGGGCCATGAGGGAGGGGCGGAGGAGCCTGAATCTAAACAATGGCTAGCTCCAAGTGGTATCTGGAGTCCTCCCTTTCCGGCCTTTCTTTTCCCCGCAGAAACCACTGCAAGGCCCTCAGAAGGGCCCTGGCTCCACCAGCGAGCAAAGGCACAGAGACTATGTCCTGCCCACAGTGGACTTCAGAGAGCCCTTGGAGAAAAACAGAGAGGAAAGGAGAAGGCAGAGACCCTAGTCTCTGAATGAAGGAGAGAATGCAGTCCTGAGCCCTCCTAGCATGCAGGGAAAACTGCAAGATTCTCTCTCGTGCTGAACGGGATCAGAGGGGGCTCCTCCCACCTGCACTGCCCCAGGTAAGTGAAAGAAAGCAGGGGGACGGGAGCTGGGGCGGGGTCAGCGGCCCAGCCCAGGCCACTTCTCACCTTCGCCGCCTGCGTCCATCTCTCAACCGTGGCGAGCGTCACAGAGGCAGAGCCCCTCCTCCTCCCCATAGGCCCTCTGGGGGCCCCGTCCTCCTCATCTTCCTCCTCGCTCGCCTCCTGCACCAGACACAGAGGGCCCCACTGGACCAGATGCAGAGGCCACAAACACGCCCCCGCCCCCACCCAGCTGTGCACAGGCTCTCACCTCCAGCGCGTCGGGCAGGGAGTGGAGCTGCTCCTCCTCGCCCTCAGAGCTGTCCGAATCACTAAAGTTCAGCAGGCTCTGGTCATTCTCCTGCAGGAACTCGTAGAACTCAGGGTCTTTGTCCTTCAGTCGAGAGAGCTGGTCCTTGTGCTCAGACGCACGGCCCTTACGCCGGCTGAGAAGGTGGGGTCATCAAGTCTGACCGGCTGGCACGGCCAAGGCCAAGGGGGGAGGGGGGATCAGCCTTCCTGTCCTCCTCAGAGAACCTATGAGGCTTCGTCTGCTCCCTCCACAGCAGCTGCTAACAACCAAGGCAGGGAGCTTTCCAGAGAGCAAGTTTTCAGCAGATCTCTCTCTCCCCCAAACTCCGGACTCACACGTCCGGCAGCCTCTGCACACGTGTTTCAAACCCAAGGCATGTTTCAAAACAACGCTGAACTTGCAGCTTCCCCCGAACTTACTCTGCCCACACGCTGCTCTACCTCAGCTGTCGCTAACTCCCCCTTTCCAGGTACTCACGTGAAAGGTAAACCCTCTCTGTCTCTCACACCCAGCGCGCACTCTGCCACGAGATCTCATCATCAATACTTCCAAAAGTCTCACGACTCCTCTCAAACCAGCATCATCTCTCAATTCACTTGTCCACTCCAGCCCCTTACAACCTGCTCTCAGCACAGCAACCGGAGGGACCCATCCTGTTACATGTCACGCGCCGTTACTTCACTACTCAAAACCCTAGGATAACTTCCAACTGTACTGAGATGCCATATAAACGGTCTACGAGATCCAGCCCCATCACCGTCTCTCCAGCTTCACCTCCTACTACTCTCCTCGCATTCCTGCCACAGCCATGCTGAACTCTGCGTAAGGCTCACTCCCAACTCAGGACCTTTGCTGTTCCTAATGCCTAAAACACCCAGACATTCTTCCCCTACTGCTGCAATTTACTCCCTCAGGTTTCATAAAACGGCCTTATCCACTCCACCTAACGCTGCCGCAGAAGCTCCCACCTATGCTCCCTATTCCTCCAGCTCCTTCTGCTTTTCCTTCCTGTCTGCAGCACTTATTTCTTCCACCGCCCTACACGCTGTAGTTTATCCAAGACCGAGTAAGCTCTCCTGGACCAAAAATGAATACTATTCTCCAGCGTTTCCCAACACCGGGATGACTTGGCACAGAGCAGTCACTCCGTAAATACCGGACGGAAGAATAAACAAGTCGAAAGGTCTGGGGGAGAGATCAGAGGTCCCTAGGCCTCAGTCCTGAGGCCCCAGGAGTGGTCAGCACCCTTCCGGTGGGGCGGGCCAGGACGGTTAAGTGGGTTCTGCTTACACACGGCCCGTAGAAGACGCTCCACTCACCTGGCCAAGGAACTCCCACCTGGCCCATCCGGGCTCCGGGTCGCTCCGCGCGCCGCCCGCGTCTCCGCCTCTGGGGCTCCTTCGGGCTCCGAGTCGGACTCGGAATCAAAGCCCGAGGCCAGGAACTCGTCCACCGTCAGCTCCGCCAGGCGCCTGCGGGCCATGCCGTTGGAGTCATGACTCCCCGCCAGCCCGATGTGCCCCAGCCCGGCCGCCCCAGGAACACAGAGAGGTGCAAGAGAAGCCTCTCTGGATGCAAGCGCCCGCCGGGAGGCCTGATCGGAGCCTCAACTCACCGCTTGCGGGTCCACGCCGCCGCCATAACTGCAGGCCCGTAGCGTGCGCCCCACTTCCGGCCCCAGCAGGCCTTGCGCCAGGCGCACTTCCTGCAGGCAACCCCGCCCCTGGCCCCGCCCCGCCGCGCCCCGCCAGGTGGCTTTAAGGTTCTCCAACCTTGGCTGCGGCGGCATCCAGGCGGGAGGGCGCGTTCGGATCTCTTTTTGGGCGGGAGGCGCTCGGCCTCCCAGGGTGGCACGCGGGATGAAAGCTCCCTGCGCAGGCCTGGTTCAGTCACGGCTCCCGCTCGTTTCCGCTGAGGGACAGACTGCGGAGCTCCAGCACCCGGCAGGACTGCGTAGGGCGGAATCCCGCCATTCCGCTCACAAATCTGTGACGTTTACCAAAAAAGGCACTAGTAACGACACCGACCTGGGGGAGGGCCGGGCCGGGTCACCGTCGCCCAGCCCAGCCCACAGCACACCCCCCCCCCGCCCCCTCCATGGGTTCCGTGAACACGTGCCTGTGAGGATGTCAGTGCATTGACCACGGAAAAAATGCATGGGGGGAAACATGTGTCAGAGAGGACTTCTATACAAAGAGCTCTTACAAATCAATAATAAAAAGCCAACAATCTTTAGTAGAAAAAACAGACGAAAATAGAAATGGTGATGCTATAGATGAGCTGTTTGCGAATTGATAAATGACACTCTGATGAGGATCAGAACGATGAGAGCTGTTTCCACTTCACTGGACAGCCCCATAGCACCTGCGCTGGGGGAGCCAGAGGGGTGAGACAGCGGACAGACCCGAGCACTGTTACTGAAACCAGGTTGGCCAAATCTCCCTGAAAGAGGATGGCTGGTATTTCAGTCCAGCGAGTCCTCTACTGGGAATTCAGCTACGAACACATCTGCCTAAGTACCCAGGCCGGCCCCGGCGGGGACAGCCACTTTTGCTCTGCCCTATCTGTGGAACAGCCTGCAGGTGCAAAGGCCCGGAGGCTGGAAGGTTGCCTTGGGGAAGGAAGGAGGTGGGGAAGCCAACCTATGCCCTCCCCTCCCCCCACTCGTCCTAATGGCGGAGGTCCGCGGGCCTGGACAGCCAGATCCCAAGACAGGGGACCCCACAGCGCCCAGGGCGTGCACCCCACCCCCTCTCCCGCTCTGCAGCCAGCGTCCAGATCAAGGCCAGACGGCAAAGTGGCCTGCGTGGGGTTGGAGAGAGGAGGGCAGACGCGGCCCCCGGCTGGCTCAGGTCCCAGGGGCATCACGTGGGGCCATTCGGCCCCCCAGGAGATGCGGGGCCCCGAAAGGGGAGAGGGGTGCTTCTTGAACGAGTTGAGGCGGGCGGAAGGTCCAGGAGGTTTCTTGGGGATAGGCGGCGGGCGGGGCCCGGGGGGCTTCCTGGAGGAGGAGGCGGGCGGAGCGCCGAAACATTGGGAGGATTCGCGCGCTACGCGGCGCCCCCGAAACCTCGGGGGAGCGCGGGAGGCGGAGCGGGCGGCGCCGAGAAACAGCGGCTGCGGGCAAGCGGCGGGAGCGAGGAACGCAGAGCCTGCCGCCACCGCCGAGCAGCCCTCCAGCCGTTCGGCGTCCGCTTGTCCGAGCGTCCTCCGCGGATCGGCGGCGGGCCGGCGGCCGAACCCATGCAGCCGCGCAGCGAGCGCCCGGCCGGCAGGACGCAAAGTCCAGAGCACGGCAGCCCGGGGCCCGCGCCCGAGGCGCCGCCGCCGCCGCCGCCGCCGCAGCCGGCAGCGTGAGTGGGCCGGGGGCCTGGGGACCGTGACTGGCCAGGGCCGAGGAGGAGGGGGGAAGGAGGGAGGGAGGGGCGCGCCGACCCTGGCAGGCTGCCGGGAGGGGGCGACCTCGTGCCCCGCAGGCTCGGCCCTACCGCGGAGGGTCCAGGTCCCCTGCGTTACCCGCGCACACATTCGGCGCGGGGCAGGGCGTCCCGAGGAGTCTGCTCCCGGAGGCTCTGTCCCCTCCCACCGCCCTTGAATTCCGGCTGCGCCGTTCAAAGACTCGGGCGGCCTGTCTGAATGATGGGGGGTTGGCGGTCAAGAGAGGTCACACTTGCTGGTCGGTGTAGGGGTCTGCTTCAGAGCCACCGGTCAGTACGGACCGGTTTCACCTCGTGCACTTCCCTCATGCCCTGCCCGTGCCGAGAACACCGGACTCTGATGGGGGCACGAGAAGGGTTGCCAGCGATGGACAGAGAGCCTAGTCGCGAGGAGGGTCTAGAGAGCCGGGTTCTTCACGGAGGCCCCCGGGCGGAGGGAAGTGTGGTGCTTGATTTGAGCAGGGGTCGCGGCAGAGGAAGATGTACGGGTTCAATGACGGACCGGGGTCTGCCGTGGGATCCGACCTCACTCTGGTAGCAGGTTGGAGCAGAGTCTAGTTGGGCTCCCTGGATGCGAGGGAGCAGAGTGCGGTAGCGCCTGGAGAGCAGGGGAGGTCCCGAGGGGAGTGGGTCCTTGATGGAAACCTGGTTCGGGCTGCTGGGGGCGGGTGGCCTCCTGGGTGCCCAGGCCCTGCCTAGGGTCTCAGGGGTGGGTGAGCAGCTCCCTGCAGAGCACACCGTGACCAGGCCACTGCCCACCTACAGCCCCGAGGCAGAGCGTGCCCGGCCCCGGCAGGCCCGGCCCACGGGCCCCATGGAGGGTGCAGTGCAGCTGCTGAGCCGCGAGGGCCACACCGTATCCCACAACTCCAAGCGGCACTACCACGATGCCTTCGTGGCCATGAGCCGCATGCGGCAGCGCGGCCTCCTGTGTGACATCGTCTTGCACGTGGCTGCTAAGGAGATCCGGGCACACAAGGTGGTGCTGGCCTCCTGCAGCCCCTACTTCCACGCCATGTTCACAAGCAAGTACTGCCCCATCGGGTCCGGGCACTTGGGGGACTCTGCAGCTCTTCCAAGGTGGGGACCAGCCTGACCTGCTGTCCCCACAGATGAGATGAGTGAGAGCCGTCAGACGCATGTGACGCTGCACGATATCGACCCTCAGGCCTTGGACCAGCTGGTGCAGTTTGCGTACACGGCCGAGATCGTGGTGGGGGAAGGCAACGTGCAGGTGAGGCTGCCTCACCTCTCATGTCCTGTACCGCTACCGTGCTTGTGCCTCTGCTCTCCCCACGCCCCCAGCATCCCCTGTACTGCTGCCACCCCTTCAGTCCTCACGTCCATTTCTCTGTCCTTGCTCCCCTGGCCCTCTCTCCCACCTTGCCCCATAGACTCTGCTCCCGGCCGCCAGCCTTCTGCAGCTGAATGGGGTCCGTGATGCCTGCTGCAAGTTCCTGCTGAGTCAGCTCGACCCCTCCAACTGTCTGGGCATCCGGGGCTTCGCCGACACACACTCGTGCAGTGACCTGCTCAAGGCGGCACACAGGTACGTGCTGCAGCACTTCGTGGACGTGGCCAAGACTGAGGAGTTCATGCTGTTGCCGCTGAAGCAGGTAACGTGGCAGCTGGAGCACAGCCTGGACCTTGACTCGGACCCCAACCCTGACCCAATCGCCAGACCCCAGTACCAGCCTTGGCCCCCCGGCCCCCATCATCTGGGCCCATAAGACCTGGTCTTTTGCCCCTTAGTCTTTATCTCCAGTCTCTGACTGACGTTCCAACCCCGCCACCCATCCCCTGGGAACCCCCCACTCCCATTTTCTAACCCCACACAAGCTATCACCATTGATACCTGACACTCTCCTCTTCTGATTACACACCTGCCCACAGTCTCCCGTGCCTGGTTCCGTACTCCCAGGACTGCTCTGGAGCTAGGCCCCTGGGAACTGGGTCTGTGACTCCTGACCCTGCTTGGGTCTTCCTCATAGGAACACTGGGCCCCCTTGGACTCTCCCTCCCAGGCACCTTCAGGGCTCCATGGGTCCCCAAGCCCCTCCCCAGATCTCAGGTCTGAGGGTCCCCACCCCCAGGTGCTGGAACTGGTTTCTAGCGACAGCCTGAACGTGCCTTCAGAGGAGGACGTCTACCGTGCCGTCCTGAGTTGGGTCAAGCACGACGTGGATACCCGGAGGCAGCACGTTCCTCGGGTGAGGCCAGGCGCTGGGGGGCCTGCGGTGCGTGGGAGGGGATGCAGTAACTGAGGATCAGGCGTGCCTGGGCCCTTCTGTGTCCAGAGATCCCACAGGGGTGATGCAGGCATGTGTCTTGAGGAGGGTCCAGGACACATGAGCAGGCCCGACCATAGCAGGCGTGCTACCACACCCCAGCTGATGAAGTGTGTACGCCTGCCCCTGCTGAGCCGGGACTTCCTGCTGGGCCACGTGGACGCCGAGAGCCTGGTGCGGCACCACCCAGACTGCAAGGACCTACTCATTGAGGCCCTCAAGTTCCACCTGCTGCCCGAGCAGAGGGGCGTCCTGGGCAGCAGCCGCACCCGGCCCCGGCGCTGTGAGGGCGCTGGCCCTGTGCTCTTCGCTGTGGGTACGCCCACCCGTCCCGTCCGGTCCCCCATCCCTGCCCTACGCCCTGTGTCCCTACCCACAAGCCCAGCACAAGCCCCCCCACCCCGTGCCGAGGCCACCCTGCGCTCACCCCACACCTGCTCTTCCATCCACCGCGGTGTGACCTGCTCACCAGTCACTGGCCCCACTTGCCCTTGGAGCCTCCAGGCCCTCAGCCTCGGGCTGTGCTAGAGCCTCCTAGCCCACTGTGTCCCTGGCCCCTTGTCCTGCCCCATCACCTCCCCCTGCCTAGGTGGTGGGAGCCTGTTCGCCATCCACGGCGACTGTGAAGCGTACGACACACGCGCTGACCGCTGGCATGTGGTGGCCTCGATGTCCGCGCGCCGGGCCCGGGTGGGCGTGGCGGCAGTCGGGAACCGGCTGTATGCCGTGGGCGGGTAAGAGTGGGGGCTGGGCTCGGGTCAGGGGCTTGGCATGTGCCCACTGGGCCAACCCTGACCGGCAGCGAACCCCTCCCCTAGTTACGATGGGACTTCAGACCTGGCCACCGTAGAGTCCTACGACCCTGTGACCAACACCTGGCAGCCTGAGGTGTCCATGGGCACAAGGCGCAGCTGCCTGGGTGTGGCTGCCCTGCACGGGCTCCTGTATGCAGCCGGTGGCTACGATGGGGCCTCT